GTTATTGACATTCTTTTTTTGTTTTTGTTTTTGTGGTGCTAGGGATCGATCTCAGAGCTTTGTAAATCATAGGCAAGCACTCTTCCCAAGCTACATGCACAGCCCTTTGTAAGATTTCTATTTAAGACAGGGTCTTGCTAAGTTGCCAAGACTGACCTTGAACTTGTGATCCTCTTGCCTCAGCCTCCTGAATAACTGAGATTATAGGTGTGCATCATAGTGTTTATGTCTGCTCTCTCTTCTGGTTGGTAAGCTGCTGCATCTCCCACTCTGGCCTGGACTCCCTTTGGCTAACCCTGACTTCTGCCCCACTGTCTCTGGATTCCCTCAGAGCTGTGTGTTGCTTTCCTGCAGTGCGCACCCTGGGCTGCTGGGCATCCCTGCTGATCCCCAGCAGTCAGGACCATCTCCCTTCCCCTTGTTTCATGTGCTGTGCTTGACTTGTGTTTTAATTTCTTGTTTTCTATTTTTATTGGTACATATCTATGCGGAATGGTAGGTTCCATTGTGGTCAGCACTTTGTGATTATCACATGTAGTGCATGCTCACTTCAACATCCCCATGGATTTGCCACTTTCTCTTCTCCCCATCTTAACCTAGGGTGTTTTTCTTCCTGTCCACTTTTTGATATTTTTTTTGTTTTATTTTTTTGTTTGTTTATTTTTGGGAACTCGTGATTGAACTCAGGAGCACTCAACCGCTGAGCCACATCCCCAGCCCCATTTTACATTTAATAGTGACGGTGTCTCACTGAGTTGCTTAGTGCCTCGCTAAATTGCAGAGGCTGGCTTTGAACTCGAGATCCTCCTGCCTCCTCCTTCTGAGCTGCTGGGATTACAGGCATGCACCACTGTGCCTGGCCTATTTTTCTTTTTTGAATTGGGGTCTTGACTGTTGCCCAGACTGGCCTTGAATCCCTGGGTTCAAGCAACCCGGCCTCAGCCTCCCAGTGCTGGGAATTACAGATTTGCCACCTGCCCAGCTTTGACCTGCTCTGCAGTCACTCGCAGATTTGTCTGTGTGGGAAGAGTTGTTTCAGGGCAGTAGCCGTGCTGGTTTCTTTGTCTCTTCCTTCCTTTTCCCTTTCTTCCTTTTCCTTCCTTCCCTCCCTTTCTCTCTTTTCTTTCTTCTTTCCTTCCTTCTTTCTTCCTTTCCTTTCTTCCCCACCCCATCTCTCTCTCTCTCTCTCTCTCTCTCTCTCTCTCTGGGGATTGAACTTGGGGCATTAAGCCACTGAGCCACATCCCTAGCCCATTGTTGTTGTAATAAACTGCTACAAACTTAGTGTCTTCAAACAACACAGTCCACTGCCCTGCAGTGTGCAGGACAGAGCCACTGGGCTAAAACCAAGGCTGCTTCCTTCCTGAGACCCTAAGGAGAGTCCCTGTGCTGCCCTTCCAGCTGTGAAGCTGGCCTGTGGCCACTTCCTTCTCTCCAGAGCCGCCAGAGCTGCATCTTCAAGTCCCTCTCTGACAGGATCCTCTGCCTCTCTGGCCATCCAGATGATGCAGGATAGTGTCTCATTGCATGGCCTGACCACAGCTGCCACATCCCTTTGGATGTGTAAGCAGTGTGCCAAGGGTTGGGGTGCTGGAGAGGGCCAGGTGGAGCACTGGGCAGACCAAGCATTGGAAGACTAGCCTCGGGTGAGGTAGGGAGAGCAGAGTGGACACCCAGGGCTGTCGTGCAGATACTGATGCTGAAGGCTGGCACTGCCCACTGTCCAGTGGGGGCCTCCTCTTCTCTCCATTCTGGCCCTGGAGTGATCTAGCCCTCAGCCTCCTTGTTGATGACACCAGGGGGCTCTGGAGAAATCCATGAGGGAAGAACAGTCCACTCTTGGATGTGGAGCCCCTTCCTGGGTGCCAGGCAACACCCTCCAGTGAGAGCAAGTGGGCTGGTGGGGGCTGGCATCCCTGCCCAGCTATCCCAGTGAGCACCTCAGCTTGGTCCCTGGTCCCTAGATGGCCCACTGTAGCCTGTTATCCTTGCTTCTCACCAGCCCATGATGCTTACCTGTCCCCAGGGTCTAGTGAGTGCTTCAGACTGTGCCCTGTGCAGACCTAGGTGCCTGCATGGACTCATTAGCAGGGACCCTGCCTCCGGTGCAGTGCCCCAGTGTGAGCAGACCTGGGAGGGATCCGACTCCGCCCTTCCCAGCAGTGGGATTCTGGATGTCCCTTTACATCTTTGACCCTCAGTCTCTGTCAGAAAGAAGTGAGCCTCTCTGGGAACGAGGGCATCTGGGAGTAAGTGCCCTCCTCATCATTCTCTGGCTCACAGGGCCCCGAGGTAGGTGGGGGCTCAGTGAGGACTGTTGGAGAGAGGAAGCCTGAGCCCCTCTCTGCACTGGCTTGCCCCCGACGGTTGGAAACAGAAGCAACTTCTCCTCATCTCTTCCTCCTCCTGCAAGAGACCCGGGCTGGATTTTCCCCATAGGGCACAGAGGGCCCCAGCTCCCAGCTAGGAGCAGGACCCAGGCCTCACCACTGTGTTAGCTCGAGGGCCATTCCTAGGGTCCCCGGCTGTCGGTCCCGCCCCCACATCCTGGCCAGCTCCACGGGGACGGGGGTCCAGCGGGCAGCCTGTCGTGGGTGAGCAGGGTCACTTCAGTGGCCGTCAGGCTCTGAGCCCGTAGGGCTGCAGAGGAATTAGGGGAGAGGGGACTGAAGGTATTCTCGGCTGTTGGGTGAGGCGAGACGGACAGACATCCCGGCCAGAGGTGGATCCTGGAGCGTCCGCTTTCAGCGCCACCTGTCCAGTGCGCCGGGACTGCGCAGAGCGGTTTCTCCGCAACTGGCGCGGTGCAGGACCCCCCGCGGATCGCTAGGCCCTGGTCCGGGTCGGGGCGCGGGCCGAGGGGCGGGTTCTCGGCCGGGGGAGGTGCCCGGGACGGAGGGGCGGAGCGCAGCTCCTTGCGCCGGGTCGGGAGCAGCGGCTCCGCGAGGCCCGCCGGGCTCGCAGCATCTGGCCGGCTGGGGGGTAGGCGCCGGCGATCGGCGGGCGGGCGGGCCGGTGGCGTGTCGGTGGAGAGGGGCGGTAGGCCGGCGCTGCTGCCCTCCGGGCCTGGGCGACCCCGGTCCCGCGGCTGCGGGGCGTGGGATGGCAGGGGGGACAATGCCGGGTGAGGCCTCAGGCGGGCGGTGTGACGGGGCAGGCCCCGCTAGGGAAGCCTTTGGTGGGGGAGGGACAAGCGGAGAAGCAACCTGATGCGAGCGGCTGGACCCTCGAATCCGCGGCACGAGAGTGGCGCGACCCTTCCTCGGTCCCAACCCCCTCCTGGAGGCACCGAGGGGTGGGGGTCCGTGCCGGGCGCGGGCGCCGAGCGGGCAGTGTAGGGCCTGGAGGCCTGGGGGCTCAGAGTCGGAGCGTGAGACCTGAGCCGAGGGCGGAGCGGGAGACCCAGGGCAGGTGGACCTGGGCTAGGTCCAGAGGAGACCGGCTGGAAGGACGGCCCGGGCTCTGGCTTCGTGGGCGAGGGCTCCTCTAGGGGGTGGCGTCTGCCCCATCACCACCGCAAAGCCCTCAGCCCTCCGCCCTCCTTTGACCAGTGACTGGGGAGCGGTGGTGGAGCGGGTGGAGCAGACAGGGCGCTTGGCCTGCGCAAGTGCTGAGAGGAAGAAATTCCCAGGCTGCGCCCAGAGGAGGCCCAGGTGAGCAGGAATGGGCCCAGCGTGGGCTTCCCACGAGGTGTGCCTACTGGTGGGCGAGTAAGCAGGGTCAGCGTGCGGTTGGGGAATAGGAGTGCACGGAATCTGATGGTGGGTGTGTGGGCTGATGGCTCCCAAAGGCGTTCTTTCCTAGGTGTTGGAGCTCTGCGTGGAAGTGCTGTGTGTGTGGTTGTGGGGATCCCAGGGAGGAGGGTGCCAGGCGTGGCCGCAGCTGAGATGAGGGTAGGGGTGCCGATGTGCAGTTCAAGGAAGGCCTCCTCCAGTCAGTGGAGGCTGTGTCACCAGGAACAGGCTGAGCTCAGCAGGGGTGACAATACATTTTATGTTTGTCTAGAAAGGGCAGTAAACGCAGCCCCCTGTCCTGAGTGTCCTGCACAGAGGCTGGGCCTGGCTGGGAGTGACTTTCAGGTGTGTGAGGGCTGAGGGGGTGTGAGCAGGCCCAGGTGCAGGGACCCTCCGACTATCACAGAGGGACAGGCTGTGCCAGGTGTAGGAGAAGGGCCACTCTGCTGGTGTCTTCTTGAAGGCAGCTCCCAGCGGGGGACTACCAGGGCAAAGGAATAAGGCAGTGTAGGTGTGTTTGTACGGGGAGTGGGGAGTGTATGTGGCTGGAGATGCAGCCAGGACAAGAGAACGCGTCTCCAGGGCAATGGGGAGCCATGGTGGGCGCCAGAATGGTCCGTACTGCCCTGGAGGGCAGACAGGAGGGAATAAGAGTCTGCCAGTGAGGGAGGGGAGATGGTGGGGGCTGCTAGGAACGGGTATGGGGGTACGGAGAGGCTGTGTAGGACGGACGCGGCAGGACTTGGATGACTCTCAATCTGGGTCGGAAACCTGCCCAGAGCCCTGTCTCCGGGATGGGGCCTGGGCCTCCCGCCTCTTTCCCTAGCGCGGCGCGGCAGGGAGAGGACGCCCATAACCCCACAGGAAAGGCCTCGGGCTGCCGTCCCGGGCTTAAGGTCCAGATCGCCCAAACCGGGAGGGGTGGCGGCGTTGGCCCAGCCGTGACAAACCACCGGGGCTCCGGGAACGCGCGCGGCGAGGAGAAACCACTTCCGTTCGGTTTCCTTCCTGGCGGTGGCGGGAACGAGGTCTCCAGTCTCTCAGGTGGGGCTGCAGCGCCCCCTGGAGGTTCTGCTCGTTGGCTCAGGGTCCTGTGTGCGCGCAGCTGCGCGTGCGTGCGACCGAGACCCCAGGCGTGCTGCACTGTGACAGCGCCCCGCGCAGGAAACAGCGGGGGCTGCGGGAGGTCGCCCGCCCTCCCGGCCCGCCTGAGCCTGACGCCCGCCCAGGATTGCGCGCTGACCTGTCTCCTCTGGTCTTCCCCAGGTTCCAAGCTCGCCGGTCGGGAGCGGCGGCGCCCTCCGGGCAGCTGGACAAGCTCCGTCTCACCATGCCCACCGGCTGAGCACGGCCGCGCCCCGCCGCGCTCCCGGCCGCCGCAGGGCCTCGTCCTGCCTCGCGTGGGGGCCGTGCGCACCTGGGCCGGGGCCCCGGCGGCTGACCATGGTGCTGCCGCCCCCAGACCGGCGCCACGTGTGCCTGACCACGCTGGTGATCATGGGCAGCATGGCCGTCATGGACGCATACCTGGTGGAGCAGAACCAGGGCCCGCGCAAGATTGGTGTGTGCATTATCGTGCTGGTGGGAGACGTTTGCTTCCTGCTGGTGCTGCGCTACGTGGCCGTGTGGGTGGGCGCCGAGGTGCGCACTGCCAAGCGCGGTTATGCCATGATCCTCTGGTTCCTCTACATCTTTGTGCTGGAGATCAAACTCTACTTTATCTTCCAGAACTACAAGGCGGCGAGGCGTGGTGCAGCCGACCCAGTGGCGCGCAAGGCGCTGACGCTGCTGCTGTCGGTATGCGTGCCGGGCCTCTTCTTGCTGCTCGTGGCGCTTGACCGAATGGAGTATGTGCGCACCTTCCGCAAGCGTGAAGACCTGCGCGGCCGCCTCTTCTGGGTAGCCCTCGACCTGCTGGACCTGCTGGACATGCAGGCCAACTTGTGGGAGCCGCCGCGCACCGGGCTGCCGCTGTGGGCCGAAGGCCTCACTTTCTTCTACTGCTACATGTTGCTGCTAGTGCTGCCGTGCGTGGCGCTCAGCGAGGTCAGCATGCAGGGCGAGCACATAGCGCCACAGAAGATGATGCTGTACCCGGTGCTCAGCCTCGCCACCGTCAACGTGGTGGCAGTGCTGGCACGTGCTGCCAACATGGCGCTCTTCCGTGACAGCCGCGTCTCTGCTATCTTCGTCGGCAAGAACGTGGTGGCGCTGGCCACCAAGGCCTGCACCTTCTTGGAGTACCGCCGCCAGGTGCGCGACTTCCCACCACCTGCGCTTGCGCTGGAACTGCAGCCACCTCCAGCGCAGCGCAACTCTGTTCCGCCGCCTCCGCCGCTGCATGGCCCGCCTGGGCGCCCCCATGGGCCCTCGCCTACACGTGAGGCACTGGACACGTGACAGGGCCCTGCTGTACCCCAGGGCGCAGAGACGCTGGGCCAACCTGGCCTGGTTTGCATGGGATGGGGTGAGGCTGGCTGCCCTCAGGGGCCAGTGCGGTGCAGGGCCGCGGCCGCTTCTTCATCTCAGGAATCCCTTGGACCACGGACCCTCAGTCCCCACTGCGCCAGCCCACCCCAGCGCGGAACAGTTTTCGAGGCTTGAGCCCCGTGGAGGTGACCTGGCCTCTGCCTGCTGGGCCTGCCCCTCGGGTGGGAAGGGAGGGCAGAGTGTGACGATATCTGGTCCCTTGGTGGGGGTCTCTGGCTCAGAGTTCCGGGCCAAGGAGGCCTCTGTCATTTTAAAGACTCGCGTTTACAGTTTTGTATCCAAAGCCTCAGCTCTCTGCCTGTTTCATGCGCTCCTAATAACCTATTGGGCAGGGTGTCAGGGAGGGTGAGTCAAGAGAAGTGCCTCAGCGCAGGGAGAGTGGCTGTGGGGCCTGCTGGGCACTTCAGGGTGGGGGGCTCCCTCCTTGGTGGCTCTCAGGAACGCCTGTGCAGGCAGGCATAGGGGGGCATTGCAGCCCTACCCCAGAGACCCCTCTTCCATCTAATCTCATTGCTCCCTCCTCCACTGTTCCCATAACCCAACGGTGTTCTTCCTGGCATATCTTGACCCCCACCTTGGGTGTCAGGCCCCATGTCCCTGCCTCCCCCTCAGGTCTAGATGTGCCCTGTCCCATGGAAGTCCCTCTCTGCTGATGGGCTCTTCCAAACCAAGACTGCCTGGGTTGGATGGCCGCAGGGCCAGCTTTCCCAGGCCGAAGTCAGCCCTAGCCAGGAGCACGAGGCCTGACCACACCTTACTCCAGCTCTCGATACCTGTGGAGTCCACAGGCAGCAGAGGCTGGAGCCCTCTAGGTGTTCTCTCACCTGACCTCCTGTGAGTCCCACATGTGTGCTGTGGCCCTGTGTCCCACCAGTCCAGGAGGGTCTCTGTGGCACCTGGGGGCCTTCTGAGGCTGAGAGGATGGCTCTTATCCATGACTGGCCATGGTTACATATGTCCTCCAACCTCCGGTGACACTTGGTGACACCCGCTGCATCTTGGAGCTCTGTGCCGGGCCAGGCACCTGTCCACTGCATTGGCCTTTGCTTCCCTGGAGGCAAGAACGGCCCTCCCTGATGCCCAGAAGCCTCAGGATTTCTGTCATCTATGACCACCCCCAGGAAGGTATGGGGCTGGCTATTCACAGTGGGCTCCCCCTCACCCTGACTGCCGCTGTCCAGGGCCCCAGGGGCAGGTGGGCTCCACCCCCAGATGGGGACTGCCCCCCTGTCATCTGGAGTCTGGCTTGGTAAGTTGCCTGCCTTCCAGCAGGCCCTGGGGACAGGTGCACAAGGCTCCCTTTGTGGCTAGGTGTGACCAGTGCCTCTGTCCTCCCCATCAGCCTGTCCCTACCTCCACCCACATCCTCAGTGGCCCCCCTGTGAGCATCCTGCTAGTGACCGCAGGCCTCTGTTCTGGGCAGCCCACCCTCTAGTGCAGCCAACCAGGAAGGGAAGTGGAGGGGTTGCTGGTAGTGGGGGTGTGGCCCTAGAGGCCATGGGCAGGTGTGGAGAGGGATGGACTGTGGGAGTCTCACTGGCCTGTGGTCAAGCCTGGCATGTTCTCAGCAATGTTGGGTGGGGGCCAGTAGGTGAGGCCTGCATTCTGGGTGTCCAAGGCTGGAGTCTGTGTCTTGCTGAAGCCAGTGCCTGCTTGTCCTACCTGGTCTGTGTCCTGGATGAAGACTAGCCCTCAGTGCACCCTGAAGGGTGCACTCATCTCCGGGTGAGTCCTGGAGCAGGCAGGATAGGCTGAAGGGCCACGTGGGCTCCAGAGTCTTGGGCTTCTGGTATCTGTTCTGTTTTTAGGTGCTGGGGATGGAACTCAGGGCCTTTTGCACGTGAAGGCAGGTGCTCTGTTACTGACCCATGTCCCTAGCCTTTTGACTCTTCTGAAAAACTCGCTGACCTAGAGGCCTGGGGAGACAGTGTGGTAGCATTGCTGTGGGCCAGCTCTGCCTGCCAGGCCAGTGTCCTGTGTCAGAGGTGGGACTTGCCATTCCTGGCTTTGCTCCCTCTAGCAGAGAGAAGAGGGCCTGGGGCTCAGAGACCCTCCCTGAGGCTCTGGAGCACCACCTACCCCAGGGCCATGCAGGGCCAATGCCCTGGGTCTCCAGGCTCCTCGGCAGGGCTCCTCCCACGGCCTCTGCCTCCCATAGAGCCCTGCAGAGTGGCCCCAATCCTGCTGTTCCTCTTCCCAGGGACATGGCTACACCCTGTCTTGACCTGGCTTAGTGTCCCCACCCCCAGTCTATGTGGCATCTGTACAGATGGCAGTCACTGTTTCCAGGAGGGAGCAGAGCCAGGCCATGGCAAGGCTGGGCACCGAGGGGCCTTTGTTAAGCTTGGCGTAAGGTCTGTGTCCTCCGGGGGCCCCCTTGGGGACAGGGTGAAGCCCTGGCTGTATTATGGCCTGTCCTTCCCTGGCTTCCTAAAGTGACTGGTGGTGGTCACTTGTGGCAGAGAAGCCAGCCAGAAGCCCCTTGTCCTTTCACTGGTCCATTGAGCACCCTGGAGTGGGCTGGTGATGAGCTGAAACCCACTGAGCAGGGCCTGGCTGTGGAGAGCTCAGGTGCTGGCACTGGGAGAGGCCTTGGGCAGGGGCAAGGGCAGGGGCCCGGGCCTCAGTCAGCTGGAGCCCCCGCTGCAAGTGGGAGCTGTGGGAGCTGGTCAGTGTGGCACAGAGGGGAAATGTGACCGAGGTGGTGGGACCTGAGAGGGACACCTCAGGTGAGAGGTGCCAGAGCCAAGAGTCAGGGGGAAGGAAGAAGGACTTGGGGACCCACTGCCCATGGGGTAAGGTCGTCAAGGATGCCTCCTAGGCTCGAGCTGCTGGGGGTCTGCAGGAAGGGGGTCACATGAGGGGTTTGGAGGAGTCAGTTTCATGGGGTTGTGTTCACTGTGAGGAGTCTCCGCTCGGGGACGGCAGCTAGAACCCAGCCTCCTACCTCTCAGAGTTGCAGCTTGGAAGAGAAGTACCAGGAAAAGGGCAGAAGGCTCCCCACCTCCACTCCCCATTCAGGGCTGGATGGGAAAGGAGCCGGCAAAGGGGCCCAGGGTCAGGTGTGGAGGGAGAGGCCGAGTAGAGTGTGGACTGGAGGCATGTGTCAGGGCAGCCACAAGGCCACTGGCCACTGAGGTGTCTACCTGGACTGCAGGTTGGGATTATGCCTGAGCATGTGGGAAAGGGAAGGGACTACAGCACAGCCCCGACCACCTGTGGTCACATCAGGGCCTTCCGCTCTTTCCTCCTCCTTGCAGGCAAGGCCCCATGCCGCACCCCATTCTGAGGACATGTCAGTCAAGGGTATGGGGAACCCATCTCCAGATACACCAACAGCATTCATGCTGGTGCCCCAGCACAGGGCCTGCTATCTCTCCAAGTTGAGCTGTCCTGGAAGAGAGTCCCCTACCTTCCCAGCTGCCAGGGAACTTTGCCAAGATCTGAGGCGCTGACCCCAGCTCGGACACGTCTGGGTCCTGGGCCCCTCCCTAGGGCTTGCTGCTAGGATCCAGGGCAGCCAGCTGTGCTCCAGGGAAGACCCAGCCTCTAACCTGCCCCAGGTGAGCTGCCGTCGGCTTCTTCCTGAGCACACGGCAGCGGGCAGCCACGAGAACATTGGCTGACTCCCGAGCTGCCTCCGCCTGTCCTGTCTGGCAGGGCCAAGTGGGTAAGAGGACTGTGGATGTCCATGTGGTGGAGGTAGGTCCCAAGCACGCAGCATCAGCCTGGGCTTTGCTGTGGAATCACGGGGGAGGAGGGGTTAACACTCGACGGGCCAGACCGGCTGCCTGTGCAGAGTCAGTTGGACGTTTGGGGGAAGATTTAAATATGTGCTGGCAGGATCTAGAAAAATCTTTGCCATGGATTGGCTGTCACGTGACCAAAGACAAGTTGCAAGCTCATGGCTCCATCAGCAGGTGAACTTGGCCGACCTTGAACTTCTGGGCTTAAGCAGTCCTGCCTCGGCCTCCTGAGCAGCTGGGACTACAGGCGTGTGCCACTGTGTCCAGCTTGCACTGTCCTTTGCCATGGCACTTCAGGCAATGACAGAGGGAGGGTGGACTCCTGTCAGCTGTGAGTACAGTCTCTGCTGGGCCTCCCCATCTCCCCAGGGCCTGTGGGCAAGAGGAAGCAACATGGCGGGTGGGGCCTTGTGCTGCTCTGGCCTGTGAGTAGAGGACCCTGTGCGTGGGACCCACAGTCTCCTGTCTTCTGCTGACCCCAGGGTTTTGTGGTAGGCTCACCTTTAGCAGGAGAAGTCAAGTGACCTTTTTTCCATGGCCAGAGAAAGGTAGTCCTGGGAGTTGGTCTGGCCAGGGGACCCAAGCTGGCCTCTGAGGAGGACTTGAGGGGAGGCAGCCTCAGAGGAGGTGCCCGTGCTGTTTCCCACTCCTGGGGACACTGCGGTGATGGGGGCAGGACCCACTCCAGCTGCTCCTGGGGCAGGCAGGCCGGACCCCCATCTCTCCACAGAATGGAAAGGCCTGGACCTCCGACCCTTGGTCTTCCACTCAGAGCACACTCACACCCACAGGAAATCAGCCTCACCCGGGGGGTAGAACCCCATCTAACAAACTGGCCCACTCATCAGATCCCTCTAGGACCCAGGAGAAGACTGTCATGGCAGTCCTTGTGGGTGTGGATCGCTGACCAGTCCCTCTGCTCCTGGGAGCCTCTTTGCTGCTGGCCCCAGGCTGAGGTGGGAGGAAGGCTGCAAAATCACCACACAGTGGCTTAGCGAAGAGCAAGGTGGCTGCCGTGTCACGAGAGAGAGACCAGGGATGGGAAGCGCCCGTCAGAGGAGGGAGGGAGGCTGCTGCCCAGGGTCCTGGCTGCAGGGGGCATCAGAATGCAGTCCAGTGGGCACAGGGTCTGCCTTGCAGGAGGGCTGCAGCAGGGGCTGAGAGCGGGGGTGGGATGAGGACAGGCTTGGGGGGTGGAGTGGCTGCCCAGAGGGTGGGTCATGGAGTCCTGGGGTGCAGCGGCATTGCCAGGGGTCCCAGTAGCCACCCCTCCAGGGACTGGACGCTGATTTGCATGGGCTCCGGCTGGTGCTGGTGTGGGTGGACTCTGTCCTGGCTGGAGCAGAGGAGGTGTGTAGAGGAGGGTGTGTTGGCCCTCTGCTGACTGAGGACTTGCCAGCTTCCCCCGTGGGTCAGGAAACTCAAGGTGGCTGCTTGGTCTGAGCCTTTGTGTCCTCAGGAGTTCATGGTGGCTTGGTCCTGGTGCAGCTGGGAGGAGTGTGACCTCGGGAGGTGTGGGGCACCAGGGCTCTGCCCTCCTAGA